AGAGAAAGATCCGGATCACAGCGTAAAACACTGCTGGGTCCACGTAGTCTGGGAGGAAATCAGATCAGAGATGTTAGAGCAGGCAAAGAGCTGTCAGTTCCCTCCACATCGGTGTTTCCCATGTGGCAGTGCTCCCCCCGCACCGAGGTGACCCCGAATCGCTCCTGCCTCCTCCTGCTCCGTCCCTCCAGAGACGCTTAATGGCCAGGCGCGAGCGCGTTTGTGCTGATGCACCCCACGAGCTAAAGCGTGTGCTGCGGTGGGACCTGCCCCCGGCTGACCCTGCATCCCGCTCTTACCGTGCATCCGCTTCAAAGCCTGGTTCATGGCGCCGATGGCGTCCGCCAGCTCCTGCAGGGCTTCGTGCAGGGTCTCCTCATCCAGCTGCGGGATGGCACGGAGGGCCTGAAGGACGGCCTGAGAGAGGAGAGGATGAGGTGTGGGGAGGCTGGGATGCCTGTGCACAGCGGCTCTGGGTCCCCGCTGCCACCCACGCCAGCTCTGCCCCTGCCTGAGCAAGGGGACGGGAACACCTGCAGGGTGGGTGCCTGTGGGCACTTCCCGAGCGAGCAAAGAGCTGCGGGGCACGGCTGCTCCCCACCTTAATCCCCGGCACAGCCGCCTTCTCCACCAGGAGCGTGACGAGGATGAACCCCCGCAGGCTCTCTCCGCCGGGCAGCGAGCTGATGGTGTCCAGGTTCCTGCAGGGGTGACCAGCGGAGTGGCCGAATGCACAAGGTGAGGAGGGGGTTTGCTCAGGATCTCCCCACACCCCCAGGACCCCCCAAGCCCTTCCTGGAGCAAACCCCTCCCGGCTGCAGAGCCCCTTATCTGCGCCCCGGGCAGAGCCGCGCTGTTTTTTTTAGCAAGATGTGAGAGTGGCTGCCCTGGGGTGCAGTGTTGCTCGACCCTGCCCCCGTGCTGGCTGGGCTTTAGCCCACGATGTCCAGGCTCTGCGTGGGCTAGAGCAGCCCACGGTTCAGCCGCGGTCACGGCACGTCGCTGTTGTTGCAGTGGCATTTGCGTGCCAAAGGCTGAGCTGTTTTTGTTGTGCTCGTGTATCAGAAGATAGGTTCAGCCTAAGCAGAGCCCTGCAGTGTTGGCATGCTAAGCCAGTTCAAACAAAACTAATTCTGTTAGAAAGTAAATAAGCATCTTAAATACTTACTCCATTTCCAGAGGCCTGAAGGCATTCCAGTTCGTGCCAACAAGGGTACAAGAAAAGGAAAAAGAGGGACGTTACAAATTGTTTCAGCGAGGGGCTGTGCGCCATCCCTGGTGGGGGGGAGCACCGATGGGCACCCGGCCCCAGAGAGCACCCACGAAGACCCTTTCCCAGACCGTCTCCACGAGACAGGCCCCCAGTGATGGGTTTTGGCAGAATGGGAGTGGTTGGGAACTGTTTGTCCCTGTCTTGCTGGACAGGACCTGGGTTTGCTGGCATTTGTCCATTTACCCATCGGGATTCTTCCTCCTCCAGTTGGCCAACACAAAGTCCGCATGGCTGAGGATGGGGGGGAGACCGAGGGCCTGTGAGACCTCCCAGAATGGGACAGCAAGATTCTGGGGCAGCACCTGAAGGGCAGAAAGCACAGGACACCGTCAGGCTGGTGAAAGGTGCCCATCTGCGGCACCCAGCCAGGCAGGGGGTGTCACACTCCTGCTGCAGCCTCAGGAAAGGGGCCTTGCTCCCACGGGATGAGTCCCAGGGGAACAGCATCAGCCCTCCCAGATCCCAAGGAGCAGGTGAACCTGCTCCACGTTGCTTTTACCTTGACGGTGCCCTCCTCGCCCTCCTGCCAGATGTAGCCCATCGTCATGAAGCTGAGCACCAGATGCGCCAAGTGCAGCTCCTCGCGTCCTCGCAGGTGCCGGGCGCTCAGCTGCGGCATCTGCCAGGGAGACCCTTGGGAGCAGGGGGCACCACAGGCACTGCCCAGGGTCCCCGGCTGGAGAAACCCCTCCTGGTGCCTCTCCCTGCTCTTGCCCTCTCCCCACGAGCCCCCACCCGGCAGGGTTTGCTGCTGAGAGCGCTCCAGAGCCAGGCAGGAGAACACGGGTACCTTGAGCACTTGTGAGCGGAGCCGGCGGCTCACGATCAGCCGGGGCAGGTCATGGGCAATCTCCATCCAGGGGCCGTAGGGCGCCGGCAGCTCTGTCTTGTTAGAGAGGACACAGGGCTGTTAACGCAGAGCCCAGCTGTGCGCTGCTGCGCCCATCGAGACTCGCAGGTAATGGCTCCCCTCCTGTTACGCCCCATAGGCC